GTAGCCATCAGAGGATGGTACATGGTGACCATAAAGGGATGGACATGGTCAGAAACAATGCTCAGGTAGGCCGTGGCATTTAAATGATGCCCAATTGGCACTAAGGGACCTAAAGTGTGCCAAGAAAACATCCCCCACACCATTACACCACCACCACCAGCCTGCACAGTGGTAACAAGGCATGACGGATCCATGTTCTCATTCTGTTTACGCCAAATTCTGACTCTACCATCTGAATGTCTCAACAGAAATCGAGACTCATTAGACCAGGCAACATTTTTTCCAGTCTTCAACTGTCCAATTTTTGGTGAGCTCTTGCAAATTGTAGCCTATTTTTCCTATTTGTAGAGGGTGATGAGTGGTACCCGGTGGGGTCTTCGTCTTCTGCTGTTGTAGCCCATATATTTGGATATAGAGAAACAAAGCTGCAACCGTGGGAAGCGACTAAAGGTTGTTTTTTTTTTTGCCTCAGGCATTTCAGAATGACTAAAAAAACTTTTGAGATGGTGTCCAATAAGATTTGTATGCTGGTTAGTGCAGTTATCTAGTCACATGATTTTTTTTGTTGCACATTAATTGGTAAATGCGTTTCCACAGTAGTTTATGAGCTTCATAAAAAAAAATCCACTTCAACTGAGCGCAGTTTTTTGTTTTTGTTCTTTTTTAAGAACACCTTGGTGTTTCCGTTCAGTTAGGAGAAAACATTGGTGCTTGAGAAAGGCTATTCAGATTTCTAGACAAGGCTCAGTTTCTCCCTTTTGGGATATTTATGGCAGTTTATCATCCACCAGGTGAAAAAAAAATAAGTCTGATATAAAAAGAATGTCAAATAAGTAAAAAAAGTAGACTAATAGCATGCCTTACCTACTGTACATAAGTCACATGATCATTCATATCCATGTTTGCTTAAGCATTAAAAAGGAAGGAATTTCAAAAAATATAACAACCACTTCAATAAAAAACAGAACCAATAAAAACGAAGGAAAGAGTGTATCCAAACTTACTAGACTGTAAGCCCCTCTGCTGCTGTAAGATTACAGTCACTTTCCTTTTAAAACCAGTCTGCCATTCTGGAGATGCTGGCTGCTCAGATCACAAGGAAGAAAGAAGCAAACACTCCGTCAGGACTAACAGCGCTGCAAGAGACATGAGAAAACACCTCCACAACATTACTCAAAGTACAGCATGTGAGCCAGTTACACAGAACAATCTGTCTCTATCCCAATCCCCTCTGGTGCGTCACTCAAGGAATGCTGGAGTAACTGGTAATGCCTTAGTGCATTTGCTCAAACTAGCCTAATTACAAAATTCTCACATGCTCCTCCTGTACTCCACTCAATCACATGACACCAGACTGACATTTACCTAGAAGATGACAAACATACTCACTGTGTAAATAACAAAATCCACTCTCTAATATACAGCTGATAATATGATATCCTCATAAATGAACAGTGCACATTTACTATTTTTATTATAATTTCAAATAAATATTGTGTAACATAAAGTCTTAATTTAAATTCACCAATTTTGCCTTTAATTTATTTACTAGCATTAAATTGCATTGTTACCAAGGCCGTTGCTCACTCTCCAGCTAACAGGGAGCGTTCTCAGAACTTTCACCAATGTACAGCCAAGGTTCTCTCAAAGTTATGAGCAAAAATTCTTTCAGCAATGTCAATATAACGGTCATTATTTATACATCGTTTATGTTTTTTTTTGTTTTTTGTTTTTACATATTCGTTGCACGTTGGTTTAATCTTTTTTTCAGAACGTTCAGAAGTAACTTTTTCATAACTAATAGGAATGTTAGCAGAACATTCTTAGAACATATTTTTGATATCTGTCAAAAAAAAAAAAAAAAAAGACAACGATCATTCACCAATAGTAACGGAGGCAAATATGATCACTACAGTGTAAAAGGTTTTATGCAGAGCCATTAGAAAGATACGATGTCATCATTACAAAAGGGTACAGTTGATAGTGTCTGTTGGTAATATCATGGAACTAAATGCACACAACAAAGAATACTTGACAATATAGACTCCAAGAAAAACATGATAATTGCATTAATGAGAAATTGAACGTGTGTTCCTAATAATAGGATATACATATATACATACATATATATATATATACAGTATATATATATATATATATATATATATATATATATATATACATAATAGTAATTTTGGGGTGAAATGTGAGCGGATTGTTGAGAACCACTCATGGATTGTCAGTGGTATTCTGGGCAGTGGTTAGGTGGTTTTTATTTGGATATAGAGAAACAAAGCTGCAACTGTGGGAAGCGACTAAAGTTTTTTTTTTTTTTCCTCAGGCATTTTAGAATGACTAAAACAACTTTTGAGATGGTGTCCAATAAGATTTATATGCTGGTTAGTGCAGTTATCTAATCACATGATTTTTTTTTTGTTGTTGTTGTACATTAATTGGTAAATGCGTTTCCACAGTAGTTTATGATTTTGTATTGTATTGTAAGAAAAAACATGTATTACTTGGAAGCCGCTCATTCATTTAGTTCTAAAGTTCTCAAATGCGAGTACATAAAAAAGGGAAATAAATAGTATTTGTTAGTGATTGTTTTAAAAAAAAGGTGCAACATTTTTTTTTTGTAATATTTAGGCCTACAGCTTTTGCTGTATTTTATTGCTACCACACTGTACATGCATACTACATTAACCATTTTCCTGTCCCTTTTGAGAATGGGGGTTAAAATGCACTATTCAAACTGAAATGGTTGTAATTCAAGAATGCTTTGAAATATGTACCCAGTTTGGTCTTGTTTAAAAGAAAACACTCTGCAGATTATTGCTGAAGTGAAAACACTTCAAAAAAATGAAAGTATGAAAAAGTTATGGAAGTTTTAATTTACAGTAAATCAAATATACTGTACTATATATTTTTTGATATAAAATAGATATTTTACAAAATAGTTTTTACTCTAAAATTACCATAAAATCAAAGCCATAAATCTAACCAAGTTATGTTCCAAATTTGAAGTTGATATCACAAAAATTGAAGTTCCCATGAGATTTTATTTAGGCGTAGTACCAAAAATAGCCACCAGATGACATTGAATTTCATTGAATTTAGTTGTATACATTCTGGCTTAACAAATCAACATTATTCTTACTTGTATGTATTACTTTGTAATATACTAGTATGTTTGGAAGCAACCATTTAAACTTTTTGTTTGTTTGTTTGTTTTCTTGTCGTTGAATCATACACCAAGAAATACGGATGAAATTAAGCAGATGTATTTCTTACTCTCTATGTCGAAACAAACACTGTGTTGTCTTTCTCTTATTCTCTCTCTGATTTGAAAAACACTAAAAAAGTTCAACTAAAGTTCTCAAATGTGTTTTGCTGAAAAATAAACTTTGAGGTTTTTCCTCAAATTCATTAGAAGAAAAAGACAAATGAGACAACTGTTGGCATACAGTAAAAGAGTATAAAAAAAATATAAAATTAGTGTGAAGAGGAGCTCCAACCATTTGTTCTTTGTAGAATTTGCAGCAACATGTCTCAGTTTGCTGACTTTGCTCTCTCACTATCAATGCTGTCTGGGAGAAACAAATGAGATAATGAAGAGGGTTAAATGTAATTTGGTTCTTTCTTATAGCGGCTCCTAGGAATCAACATTTCTGGCTATCATGTTAACCACAAATGTTGTGTGGGTAGCATAGACTGTCGGTAGTCAGATGGGTTTCGAGACAGTGAAGGGAAGTGTATTTCAGTATGACAGGAAAGACAGATTCAGCATTTTTAAAAATGAGTAGGAAAATTGCATTTTACAGAAAACCAGTAGGCTAATAGTAGGCTAACGTTATAGCTAAGAAATCAGAAGTCAGACGAATGATATACAAAGTTCGGATAAAGTAACTGTATAGTAATATATACAGCTGTTATGAGAGAAATATATTTACAGATGTTATGAGAGAAATATACAGTTGTTATGAGAGACGAAACAGCTGTTTTGGAGGCTATGACAATATTGCACTTACACCAGATAAAAGTCTCGTGTAGCTGCTAAACTTCTTTAGTCTAATGTTTTTCGCAATCATGTGACTGACTATATTATGACATTCCTTCACATATGAATCAATTCAATCCTGCTGAACTAGGTTGAACTGTGAACTGCAACAGTATGACTTTTCACGTAGATTTACATTTTTACTTTTTACATTTTACATTTGGCACACGCTTTTTTAGCCAAAGCGACTTACATTCCATTTCAAGGTAACGGCTAACTTACACACCTTTACATTCTTATAAGTTTTTCTGTAACAAGATACTCACCAGAAGCTTGATTTTAGCTGAATTCATCTTTCTTTGCACCTGGTTTCCACATACAGACAATAACAACACACTCTAATAGAGGTGGTGCCCGTCACACAAACATAGGAGACTTCACAACAACAAAACCATCTGTACAGTGCAGTACAGTTCACTTGGAGAACATTAACAACACGATTTCAAATTAAAAGCTTGACGGCAAGTTAAAAGTCATGTAACCAAAAAAAGAGACACATTTATGATAATGATTTATGTTTTCAAGAAATTGCAATCAGGATTTTAGAAATAATATAAGCAAATTTAAATTTAAAGTTGAACCAATGTTTCCTCTTGCAACCTGAAACATCCACTAATAAATTAATATTAATGAATATTTAAATTATATTTAATATTTAAATAATAAGTAAATTGATATATATGTAAGCACAGCTTTTTATCCATTTTATCCAAGATGAGTAACGTATCAGAAAAGGAGGATTAGTAATAAATAATGATATATAAAATGATATTTTTTTTTACAGTAATACATATTATTTAAGTGTGCTGTGTTTATCAGTGTAATACTTACTTCGTGTACTTGTAAGAAGAACACCACTAACACCCAGTAAATTTAAATTTTTAGATTCAATTTCGCAATCCACACAACAGCACATCTAGCGTGGCTTTTATTTTGAAATACAAGGGACTTGAACGTCGCTCATTTAGGATTTTTCTTGTGTTTGCCGGAAGTGCAGTGGCGTGTGTGGGATTACAGGTAATGGCTTTTTTAATAACATTAACATTGTGTGAAAATATGATTTTAATAAGTGTTTAATGGGCTATCCCGGAGGCTGTCGCATTGATCTTTTTTTCCGTCCAGAAAAGCAATTGTGCTGTAAAAGCACGCAGTCACCAACACACACACACACGTGGATAAAGACATCTCCATACTATCACATTCAGCCTGCACGCTCGTTATAATCTTGCATTTTTTTTGTGTATTATTTATTAGATATGCTTTTATTGTTATATAATATTTTAACACTAACGTGATGTCCACAACTATTAGCCCTCATGCATTTCCCCATTGTCAAATATCAAAGAATTTAAAACGTCCAGCCTAGACCGTAAAAAAGTCAAGGTAAAATTAAAATATCATGTTGTTGACGTCTAAATATTCCCAATCAAATGTGTTTTAAAAAATGTTTTTTTTTCTTCAGTTTATTCAGTACAAGTTTGTAATAACCCGGATTTGTATCAAATTGTTTTAAATATACCATTATTTTTTTTTCAGTCAGTTGTTAGACAATGGCTGACGACGGTCAAGGAGAGGATTATCCCACCGAAATCGAGGAATACCTCAATGATTTTGACTCCTCTGTGAGCTCTGTCCAGAATATGGTCCAAACACTTGTGTCTGTATCCAGAAGTGACCATCTGCGTAATGTATGTGGAAACTAAATGCTTAAAATGCGTAAAATGCTCAACACTTAAATTAACTTGCATTATTATGTTATTATGTTTATATATTGTTACACTTGTTATTGGAGTGTTTTGACCATTTTGTACCTCATTTCCAGCTGGATCCTCTTGATCAAGCTAAATTGGATCTTATGTCTGCATATGCCCTCAACTCTATGTTTTGGAGTAAGATTTTGCATCTTTGTTTTTTACTTGTCAAATGTAATGAAATTTTACAGGTTATTACAAGATTTATCTTTCCTCCTTAGTGTATCTGGTGACACAAGGAGTCAATCCAAAAGACCATGCGATCAAACAAGAATTGGTAAGAAAGACTGTCATTTTAGTTCATTTTAGTAGAATTTGTGACATTGTGGATAACTACAGTAAATAATTTGAGTTGTCTTTCAATAAGTTAATTGAATTTTTAATTAATTTAACTCATGATAACAGTTGAAATATTGCATATAATATTGTACAGACAAGGTTAGTGAGTTATTTTAATCACTCTAGTGACATTGTCGTCAAACTTTAAATGTGAAATTGTATGAATTAGCTTGTAAAAAAACAGAAAAAAACCCATTAAGCATGAAATAAGTCATTTCCCTTATGGAGAACCTTTTTTGGCATAATTGTTCTTTAAAATTGTGTTTTCGTTTTAACATACCAGCTTCGTCCATGCCGGCGCTTCCATTGCATTTCAGAAACGATCTCCTCATCCACACTTCACGACCGAAAACGCATTTCACACACATGATTACAAGTGTAAACTGTTGCCGATTGCTCTAATAATAATAGCTTGCCTCTTGCGCATGTGTTTAAGTGATGTAACGTAACCGTAACAAAGTTCAAGATTAGGGAAGAAAGAGGCAGACTTTAAATGTAACTTTAATCGTAAAATATTCATAAACAACAAAACAAAAGAATGACTGGAGCATATAAGTATAATAAAAACAGTGTCCCTGTGTCCCAGGTTCCTGCCCCGCCCTGCTTAATACCATAGTAACGTCAATACAACTTTAATAGCCTACATCAGCTCCTCCACGAACATGAGTCCCGTCCGATTGCTTTCTATTGGCTTGAAGGTGAAGACGACACATCCCATGATTCTACGCCCATTCACGGCATCGATAAAAACAACGCTTTTATTATTGTTTTGAATAAGCGACCTCTAGTGGCGAAAATGACATGCTGTGTGACCTTAACAGTGTTTCTGTGGGTCTTAAAATGGTCCCAAACCCCTGGTTTGAGTCCTAGTCCCAGACTAAAAGCAACTTGCACTGACGACATATCTTAAAATATGTGTGCCATTGTTATGTCTCAAGATGAACACCAGTGATGATTTTTTTTTCTTTCTAAGGAAGGTTTATAAAAGCTACTTAAAGAGTAACTAAACCCTAAAACAACTTTTTTTAGTTAATGATCTGTAAGAATGGATCTTTATTAATACCAGTCATTGATTCGAGTAACTTTTTTGACATTTGTGTATAAAGTGTTTTATTTCTACAATATATGTTGTAAAAATGTCTTAGTGCTGCCCTCTTCAGGTTGAACGGTGGCTACTGCTGTTGAATTTTCCTATTGGATGTTAGCGGTTCTTCGTGACGTGCGCACGTTTCAGCTCACCACGCTCTTGGTACGAGCTACGCCCTTTGGCAGTATAAAAACCAGCTTTTTTTCTTCAAAACCCTTGTAGCGAGTCAGGAGTTAGAATTGTGAGTATTAAAAACGATCAGGATAGAGTGTTTTAGCATCTATTTCGTCCCCTCTATCTCCACTGGGGTCTGCACACTTTTTCAGCAACCCCTGACCAGGGATTTAGTTACCCCTTTAAATGTCCAAAAATAACCAAGTCCTAAACTTTGATTATTCTGAAAACCAGGCTTAATTTAGGTCTCTCAATTATGGTCTTCGTTTATGTCAATTAAAGCCTTAAAAAAAAGGTCTTAAATCAGAGCAGAGCATTAAATGTTGCCTGCATTGCAAAAATCTTGTTTCCCAATACACATACATTATCTAAACATCTTTAAATTAAGATGCATTGCTTTAAAAAACTGAACCAAATTAAGTGAGTTCATGAGTCGTTAAACTTTGTTAAATTTAAAGTTATGTCCAAATTCTAGTGGTTGGGGGCAGAGGTGTTTTTAATTCGATAAATTCAAAATAATGGATATCTGTTGGAAGTTATATTTTCGAACCCTGTAGTGTTGCTAATAAAATAAAACTATTGTTTTTCTCCCCAGACATTTACAAAACGTATTGTTTTCCCTTCAAAGTATTCCTTAAATTTTCGTCACTTGGTCTCAAAGATCTTTAAAAAATGTTTACCTTCGTAAAACCAGCAGAAACCCTGATTATCTCTGTGAAGTAGAGTTCTGTGTAAAGTCACTACTTGTCTTTGTGAATATAAGTATTTAGTATTTGTACTATCAGAGAAAGGAAACTAACATCGTCCTCCACCTCACAGGAGAGAATCAGGACATATATGAATAAAGTTAAAGAGATCACGGACAGAAGAAAAGCTGCACGGCTGGACAAAGATGCAGCATCACGGTTTGTCCGGAGTGCACTGTGGGAGCCAGAGGACAAGAAAAGAAAGGACACGAAACGAAAGGACACAACTGAGCATTCCCACAAAGGAAAACACATAAGGTTTTCTTGATTAGGTTGATTGGTGAAACGCATTGAATTTTCTCTGCAAATATTTAGCAGACTTTGAGATTAAGCGCAACAAATATCTCAATGCACTTGGACTTGATGAAGAAGCATGCAATTTACCATGTGACTGTCCATGATGCCGTGTTGTTCATTGTGGACATGTGTTGAGTAGCATCATTCTTTTCAAGATGGCTTGTTTCAAACAAAAAATCAAAGTTTGAAAAAACACTTTTGTTACTCACCCCGTGTTTTTTTTAGCGTTTCTTTAATTGTTTTATTCTTTCCTATAGTCTTCATTTTGTTTTATATCTGGGGTTACATAATATGAAATTTGTGATGCGGACCATCAATAATACCAGTCCCATTAAAACTACTAAATCCTATTTTTCTTGTCAATTCTTTTGGATGTATTGTCTGTAGTGATTGGAGAAATGAAGCGTTTCGAAACTTTGAATCAATTGAACTAACTGCTCCACAAAATGAGATCTTGTATCGAAACGCCACATGCAGGTAACTCCTGCCGGTCAGAACAGTGTAAGTGCTGACCAAACAACTCTGCACAAACACATAAAAAACACCTTTTACAAACTCACTGCAAATATTTTATTAAACATGTATTCTATTTAATGCAATTATTAAATCATCTAATATAGGGGTGCACAACCCTGCTCCTGCCGATCGACTGTCCTGCACAGTTTATCTCCAACCCTAATTAAACACACTGAAGCAACAAATTAAGGATCACTTGAAACTTAAATGTAGGTGTGTTTGATTAGGGTTGGAGAAGAAGGATCGGCAGGGTTGAGCACCCCTGATCTGTTATTATTATATTATTATACACATGTTATTAAATGTCTACAAATATATCATAATGATCCAAGATCAAATCATATATCTGGTTAGTTTTTTTTTTTGTTTTTTTTTTTCAATTACTGAGAAGCATCGGTCAATACTGGAGCCACAATTTCAAGACTCTTCACAAATTCAGCCAATATGGACCAAACTGGGAATCATTTTTCACTGCTTTCCCTCAAAATAAGTGCCTGGGAGATGGAAATGTTGGGGATAGTCTTTCTGGCAGTTTTTGGGGAATGTATTATTCCACTGTGGGGAAGAGAGTGGCCTTCCGCCTCTTGGCCTCACCTATCCTGAGGTGTCCATTATTGCTGCAGTCGGAGCCTGCCTGGTCTGTCCCTTTGACACCGCCCTGGTCCTCTCCCAGGATTCTAGACCCGCTGGAGCCTCCTTGGTCCGTCCCTCCGGCACCCTGGCCCTCTGCCAGGACTCTAGCTCTGCCTCCCTTAAAAAGAAGGTTTTTGATAACATTCCAGGATTTACTCCATATAATGGACTTCTTTGGGAACCAAACGGTTCAAGGTCCAAATGAGAGTTTCAGTGCAGCTTCAAAGGGCTGTAAATGACACCAGATAATAATTCATTCATTACATTTATATAGCGCTTTCCTCGGCACTCAAAGCGCTTTACATAGAGAGGGGAATCTCCTCAACCACCACCAGTGTGCAGCATCCACCTGGATGATGCGACGGCAGCCATAGTGCGCCAGAACGCCCACCACACACCAGCTTACTGGTGGAGAGGAGACAGTGATTAAGCCAATTGGTATAAATGGGGATGATTAGGAGGCCATGATGGACAGAGGCCACTGGGCAAATTTGGCCAGGATGCCGGGGTTACACCCCTACTCTGAGATTTTTAATGACCACAGAGAGTCAGGACCTCGGTTTAACGTCTCATCCGAAGGACGGAATGATGATCTAGATGATCTAGGACCCTTCAAGTCATGATTTGAAAAAAGATTTGTTCATTTTGATGAACGAGTTTGAACAGGAGAGTCAAGAACGCTCATCACAGAACAGAGCAAGGCGAGCATTTGTGCTTATAAAACTAAAACTTTTTAATTTATATTTTAAATGACATATCGTTTCACTAGACCTTAGACCCTAAGACCCTTATTCATCGTCTGGTGTCTTTTAAAGCCCTTTGAAGCTGCACTGAAACTCTCATTTGGACCTTGAATCGTTTGGTTCCCAATGATGAAGTCCATTATATGGAGAAAGTCCAGGAATGTTTTCATCAAAAACCTTCATTTCTTTTCAACTGAAGAAAGAAAGACATGGACATCTTGGATCAGAATAAGTGTAAGGTGTCAGGATCTCAGAGACTTTGGTTAGGCAAAGAATCCTAAAAAACGACCGCCGCTTAATAAGAATCATAAGCTGAAGTGTATTAGCACCAGAACCACATCATCGTGTTACCTCTGTTTGAAGAATTCATCTTCCAGAATATGGCAGTAGGTTTTGGAAATAAATCTTTAGTCCTCCTCTGCAAAACGGACTTAAGGATATAGCGGGAGATGGACTAAAAATGAACTTCTAAAATCTTACTGTGATCTTGTGATTCTTATTAGGTGGTCGTTTTTTTAAGGACCCCCCCCCCCCCCCCCCCTCATCTGAATATAAGACGTTTTTCATTTCTAGACTTCATGAACAATTACATATCACTTATAAATGATTCAATGCAAAATGAATAAGTTATTAAGATTAATGTGGTTTGGAATTGGTAAAATGTTCCTGGAGAAAAAAAAAATATTATCAAAAATTTCTGTACAGTATTTTTCTAAACGCATGCTCAAATTTGTTTGTGTCAGACCCTCCCACTTTTGATTTAAGCGAATCAAAATTGATTTTAAATATTTTGGCCTTGCGTGATTGGACCGTTCTCGACTTTCAAGGTAAAGAAGCGCAATTTCTCTTTCAAGATTAATTTAAAATCGGTTTTATCTTTACAAAAATGCTTTCTCAGGGCGTTCAAACGAAGACAAAATAAGGATGATGGGGCTTGGGAGTTGGCTAGCTGGATGTGATGTAAGTCATGCTTTTTTATTGTTTTACCTGTTTGCTGTTTTAAAGTCCTGTCACGTAACGTTAAGCGTTGTGGGCAATGCCAATGACAGAAGCAGGTAAATGAAACAATGCAGTTTAACTTGAGGCGATCGTCGGGGATCAAGCACAATCGCTTGTGTTGATACAATAGACATGTCTCTTTTCAAATAAAATATGTGTTTATGGTAGTATTAATATATGTGCTAAATAGACAAATTAATATAGTGCCTCTTCTTTAATTGTTTCTGTCATGTCTGCAACTTGGCAGATGATATGTTGTCAAGATCATTAAATTTAAATTTAAAAAAAGTATAGTCTGTAAGTTTTTTCAAACTCATTATTGCACTTTATTCAACTTTATGAAACTATAATGAATTTATAGGCTATTCTGATTACAAGTTATTAACGATTTTCTTTTAACTGTGAATTCCTGGTGGTCAACCTTATTTCATGCTTTAAGACTGTAAAAAAAAGCTTTAACATATTAGTTTTAGCTAAGTAGTAATGACACATGATTATATCACTTGTTAAATGGTTGTTTAACGATAACATTCAGTCCTGTATTCCTGATTCAGTTTGTTTGCAGATTCGATGTGCGCTCACGCGTGACTCGCACTACTTCAGGTATTTTGAATAATGCGGTTGACGTCACAGTCAAACGTTAGATCGCTCTCTTTGTTGACTGAAAGACGAGGAGAATTCAGACAGTTGCTGAATATTTTCTGCGTTGTGTGTTGTGTTGTATTGTATGGTACTTGTATCATTTAATTGCAGTTTGAAGAAGATGTCAGGCCCGACCCAGGCACAGAGTCAGGAGCTTATTCCTGGATGTTCAACACCTCGGTCTTGTGAGTTCGTTTCTGTGGCCACAGGTTCGGCTCACAGGAAGAGAGAGATGCAGAGGTCAGATGATGGACGTCCGTCCACTTCATCCAAACACTATCGCATAGGTTAGTATAGGCTTTTATTAAAGTGAATAAATGATTTGTCATTGAAAATAGAAAGTTGATTTTGTGTGTGTGACCACTGACAATTGATTATTAATATTATTAAAAATGTCTGAATTATTCCATCAGGCCGCTTCAGATGCAGGACAGTTGTTTCCAGGAGCAGTAACAACAGATCTGAGAGCCAACATGAACCAGGCAGTGACGGAAACAGGAGTTTGTCCAGATGCGACAGCTTCCAGTGGATGTGTCCTCCACTGCCTGGTCAAGTTCCCATCGAGCCAACCGACATTTCTAATGTCCCGACTGCTCATGGTGCCGTGGAGGCTTCACCTGTGAACAAGAGCTCGACAGGTGAGATTGAAATAAGGCAGAATGATGAATACACACAGTTTCTCAGCAATTTTTTTCCGAAATATTTTAGTTGGACAAAACGTTCTTAGAATATATTTTTGTTAAGCCAACAAGCCATGAACTCACTCAGCTGACACACACACACACACACGAAGACACACGCACAAACCCAAACAGAGTTCTGTTTCACAACGTATTGCGTTTGAATGGTCAAATACTGACAAAATTGTCCAAATGGCTGTTGTGACCAGTGTTCATGTAAACAGAGTTGGTTAAGTTATGTCTTTAATATAAATCAATGTTGATTTAAATACAGGCTATTATATTTAATAAGAAATAAATGTGAAATATATTTTAAGACATGATGGCTCATATGACCTTTACCATTGCCAGAACTGTGCCAAATAATAATGCCTGGAAATGAATGGTCTATTTTTAATAAAAGATATATATATATAAAAAAAACAACAACTATTATTACATAATACTGTGAAAGAAACTTTTGGTCACCCCTAAGGGACATTTGTGCAGATATTGAGCAGAAACATGGCGTTGTGAGGCGGATAGCTTGGAAATATTTGCATTATTTTGGATTTGTGACATTAAAGATAAAATTGAACAGTTACAGTTTTTTTCGAACGACAGTGAGCACAACTGGAGCTAAATGTGCAAAACTCTAACTACAGTCTGCACTACCAACAGTTACCTGAGCACAACTCTTAACACACGGCTCAAAACAGGCTCAGTGTGCACAACACTATGCACAACCCTCACTGAGATAACAAACACTGTCACACAGAACACACTGAGAGGAAAAACACTAGCATCAAACACCAATACAGAAAATACAAACTTTTCATCTTTACAGTTTCAACAATTTCAGTGATTTATACAAAGTAATATTTTCTTCAAAGAAAACAGTGACATTCTTTCATTTGATATATTTACATTTTTAAAACATAACAATTGAAAATTAGCAGTTTGCTTCAATAGTCTGTAGTAATTTACAGAATTACAGTAATGAGAAAAAAAAGGTAGAAACTAAAAGTACATACTGTAATACTGTAACCCTGCCTCTCTCAAGCATCAGGCCACACGTTTTCAGCCTTTCAGCTGAAATTGTTTGAAAATCAGCAGTGTGTGGAAGGCACAAGGCTGAAATTTATTCTGTTTTGAATGAGTGGTTCACAGTTTTGACAGCAGTGTTTTAGCTTTTGAACACTGTGCTGTAAATCCACAGTGTTGTGCAGGTTGTGGTTAAAGTCATGGAATAAGTGTGTAGAGTTTTGAAAACTGTGTTCAAGCAATGAAAAATGATCTAGAGTTTGGTCCACATGAACTGCTGCTGTGCAGATTGGAGTTAGAGTTTTGCATATGTAGCTCCAGTTGTGCTCCACTGTGGTTTAGCAATCGAAAAAAACTGTAAATGGAAGTTCTATCATTATATCATTTTTAAATGTGAGGTCAGATATGTTTATAATGTTTTTTTTTTTATACTTAATTTTTTCCCCTTTGTTCCAGAAAAACCTACAAAACGAAAGAAGATGAAAAGAATTCGTTCATTCCTCAGGAACGTGTGGACGGCTGTAAAGAGTCCGTCCGGCTGCTGTTCTGACAGTAAAGCTGTGGATGTTGTGGAGCCTTTCGTTCCTCCACTAGATCTGGACTCGGAGCCTGATTCTGATCCAGATCACTCCGACAGCCTCAACAGTAGTGTGTCCAGTTCCGACAGCCTCAACAGGAGTTTGTCCAGATCCGACAGCTTCCAAGAGGGGATCTGTCCTCCACCGCCTAGTCAAGTTTCCATCGAGCCAACCGACACTTCTAATGTCCCGACTGCTCATGGTGCCGTGGAGGCTTCACCTGTGAACAACAGCTCGACAGGTGAGATTGAAATAAGGCAGAATGATGAATACACACAGTTTCTCAGCAATTTTTTTCTGAAATATTTTAGTTGGACAAAACGTTCTTAGAATATATTTTTGTTAAGCCAACAAGCCATGAACTCACTCAGCTGACACACACACACACACGAAGACACACGCACAATCCCAAACAGAGTTCTGTTTCACAACGTATTGCGTTTGAATGGTCAAATACTGACAAAATTGTCCAAATGGCTGTTGTGACCAGTGTTCATGTAAACAGAGTTGGTTAAGTTATGTCTTTAATATAAATCAATGTTGATTTAAATATAGGCTATTATATTTAATAAGAAATAAATGTGAAATATATTTTAAGACATGATGGCTCATATGACCTTTACCATTGCCAGAACTGCGCCAAATAATAATGCCTGGAAATGAATGGTCTATTTTTAATAAAAGATATAAAAAAAAAAAAAACAACTATTATTACATAATATTGTGAAAGAAACTTTTGGTCACCCCTAAGGGACATTTGTGCAGATATTGAGCAGAAACATGGCGTCGTCAGGCGGATAGCTTGGAAATATTTGCATTATTTTGGATTTGTGACATTAAAGATAAAATTGAACAGTTAAATGGAAGTTCTATCATTATATCATTTTTAAATGTGAGGTCAGAGATGTTTATAATGTTTTTTTTTTTTTATACTTAATTTTTTCCCCTTTGTTCCAGAAAAACCTACAAAAGGAAAGAAGATGAAAAGAATTCGTTCGTTCCTCAGGAACGTGTGGACGGCTGTAAAGAGTCCGTCCGGCTGCTGTTCTGACAGTAAAGCTGTGGATGTTGTGGAGCCTTTCGTTCCTCCACTAGATCTGCTCTCGGAGCCTGATTCTGATTCACGTCAGTCCGGTGTCGAGCCAAATCATGGTAAATCTGCAGTCCTTGTTTCTCAAACGTTGTTTTAAACCGTATTATCGTCTTGTTTTCCACTAAAGATATCTTGAGGCTTGTTTTCAGAATATTCATATTATTTTTTCGACCAGCACTGATATTTTTAATATAAAACAAAGGATCTAGCAAGCTCATATATTTCTCTTATTTTCTGTTTGTTTTTCAGACTCCTTCAAGTCTCTCTATAACGCGGGAGAGATGATTGGATGCGGAGGATACGGAAGAGTGTTCAAAGGAACACGGAAATTTGATGGCAAAAAGGTTTTTGCTGAATTATATAAACATTTTGCTCTTGCATGCATCAAAACATATTTAATACACAGGGTTTTATACTTAGATGCTCAAATCATAAATGTTATGTGCAAGGTCAGGCGCTTGAATGTTGTTACTCTTATTGAATTCTGTTTCTTTTTTCATTTTTGCAGGTTGCTATCAAGCGGATGCGCAAGACTTCCGAGGATCTTTATCTCGCTATTGTAAGTTGGCCAAAAGCTGAATGTGTATTTAGTTGTTGAAGTGTTGATTACTGTAGTTAATACACCTGTAGGAAACATTAGGTGTAAATGTAGTAGACGAATAAGCCTGCAAAGCCACTGTTGATCTTGTCTACCAAAATCAAAGAAAAATGATGTTTTCTTCAGATTTTTACCCAGCTAACCTTCTGTCTTTTCTCCAGCCTGGGCATCCCAAACCTCTCATTGCAGAAGTGGCTGTGCTGCTAATGATGAGGGAAGAACCCGTAAGCCCGTACGCCATACAACTACACGATTGGTTTGAGCACCCTCGAAAATTCACCCTGGTGATGGAGTATCCCGAACCCTGCGAGAGCTTGCTGGACTTCATCTATGATAATCCTCAACTGGACGAATCAACAGCACGGCTCATCATGCGACAGGCTGTGCAGGCAGTGCAACACTGCATTGAGCATAATGTCTTTTACAATGATATTCATGCGGACAATTTCCTGGTGAAGAAAGACACTTTAGAGCTCAAGCTGATCGACTTTGGCTCTGGACAGATACTTAATAGTGATGGGTATGACAGCGACGTTTACATTGGTGAGCATTTTGGAAGTTTGGAAACCTAGATGTAATGACTTGCTGATTCTTTGACACTTAAAATTTTTTTTCTCAACAATGCACAAATGTCTTGCTTACCTTACAGGAGTAAAGTTTTACTTCCCACCTGAAGTCCTCACAGAGCCTTGGTTTCACCCCGTCCCAGTAAATGTTTGGGCTCTAGGAGTGTTGTTGTACGAGATGGTGAACACATGTCCTCCTTTTCAGAATCCAAAGGAAATCACAAAAGCCAAAGTTAGATTTCAGAATGCCAACTTATCCAACGGTGAGTGAATAATATTGATAACATTGATAAACACCCAAAGCAAAGGCTCTGTACAGTTAAGAAACAGTTAAAGGTGAAGTATGTGAAGTATGATGTACGTTTTTTTTTGTTCATCAATTACTATTAGTATGCCATTTGTGGGTTTATCTCCCCCAAAAGTGTAAAAAGGCTCCATCTTATCATTGAGAGCCATCAATCTTTTTCCAGCTCAACCTATAGTGTTTGGGGGTGTGGCTATTGTAGCAGGCGGAGCCTGAGGGTGTTTAGTCACAGTGGGATCGTAGGAAAAATTCACCGCATTTATTAATACCATACAGCATCATCATGCACCCGTTCATAAAGACACATGCAACACAGCTAAACGTATTCCTAATATGTTGGACCTGAAACATATCTTCACATGGACCAGTAAGAGCTGTGTTTGTGATGTTTGAGCGAAAGAGACGTTTGCAAGATTGTTTGAAATATGCTTTATTTTTTGTAATTTCCCAAGGTGCCACTAGTCCAGCAGAAAATACATACTTCATCTTTTAAGGAAATACTTTTTTTAATTAAATTTTTCATGTTTCAGAGATGCTGTTTTCATAAATGCCTACATTAGTGTCACATGGTCATGACTAACCGGCTCTATCCTTATTAAAATGTGTACAGAATGCAGGGATCTGATTATCCAGTGCCTAACCCTGGATCCAACTAAACGCCCGACGTTAGAGCAGATCTTACAACATAGATGGTTTAGAAATGATCTACTGTAGAATGGAGAAGTTCAGGAGATTCATTCGATCAGAGATTTCAGGTGTGAAGAAGTGTAACAGAGTAGCATACAACATTTGTGATGTCGTTTATCTTCATTTCTGGATTTGTTTTGTAGTGAGATTTTCAAATATGTTTAGTGAATTGAGTTCATTTTAATGTTCTCGTTATAGTCAAGTCACTTTCATTTATATAGAGCTTTATACAATAGAGATTGTTTCAAAGCAGCTTCACAGTAATAAACAGAAAAGAGACATCCATGTTGTTCATATGATCTTTGTATTGGATATGATATAACATTTTTGGCTTACTGAAGTCCAGCCCAACGACTGGAATGTAATAAACTGTCAGCGCGAATAATAGTTTTGGTTTTCTTCTCCAGGGTTGGACACACCATCCAGTCTATAAAGAACACTGGTTTAAATGCAGGATTGGATGGATATCATCCTGACAGGAAACTCAAGCCACTCACGTGAGCCGCTTCACCAGAGAGATCAGAGCCTGTCCACGTCTGAGTAAGAACATGAGAGACTGAAGACTGGAAAGGTAAGTTAAGTCATGTCATGACAGCCACATTTGCTTTGGTAAGTCAAGTCACCTTTATTTATATAGCGCTTTATACAATTCAGATTGTTTCAAAGCCTTTTTACCTTGATAACAGGAAGATAATGATCAATGCCTAAGTTTACATGCAGCCAATAACCCGTTCAAAACCAGGATATTAGCAATAACCCGGTCGCGGTACTTAAGAAAACTAAACCGCACACACTTTGGGGACGAGCGCGGGGACGAGCGCGTCGAAGCTGTTGTGCTGCACGCGGGAGCCAACGACATTAGGCTGCGGCAGACGGAGTTTCTGAAGAAGGACTAGAGCCTGATCGAGATGGTACGCAGCACAAGCGCCTACAGCAACGATCATCGTGTCTGGACCGCTTCCCACGTACCGACAAGGACAGGAAAGGTTCTGTAGACTATTTGCATTAAATGAATGGTTAATGTTATTGTGTAATGAACAGAAACTGCTCTTTGTAAATAATTGGCATCTGTTTTGGGAGAGACCCAGGCTGTATCGTGCAGATGGACTCCACCCCAGCAGAATCGGAGCGGCTGTTCTGTCGGACAACATCTCCAAGACGTTACGCACCAGATGACTAGTAAGTCAAAGTCCAAATCACAGCCTTTGTTGTCCAAACTTAACTAATATGCATAGTGTGGAACATTATATAGAAACTGTGTCTATTCCTCGTTTAGTGAAGCCAAACTATAAATCTAGTGTAGGATCTAGCAAAAATCTTATTGTAATTAAACCAGAAAATCTAAATATCAGTGAACAAAAACAATTTCTAAAGCTAGGTCTTCTAAACATTAGATCGCTCAAACCTAAGGCGGTTATTGTAAATGAAATGGTCACAGATAATAATTTCGATGTTCTGTGCCTTACTGAAACCTGGCTTAAACCAAATGAGTATTTCGGTCTAAATGAATCTACTCCGCCAGGATACTATTATAAACACGAGCCTCGTCTGACTGGTCGTGGCGGCGGTGTTGCAACAATCTATAAAGATATTTTTAATATTACTCAGAAAATAGGTCACAGGTTTAATTCATTTAAAGTACTTGTGCTAAATGTTACGCTCTTAAATGTATGTTATGCCACACGGAACCGTTTGCCACTGAAACTGCTTAACGCACCAGTGGGGCTCGACAGCCTTTTAGACAAACGGGTCGGCGCGTATGGTTGGGTTGCGGAGAGTTTGTGAGATAGTGGTTTTCTAACACGACTCCCATTTAATGGAAATCATTATAAACATCAGTTAAGCTAATTATTTCCCATCTCCTTCTGCTGTTATCAATGGCGTTCGTCAGGTCCAGTTTTGTATCCAGCCTCTCACGGGGATTTCGGATGCCCCAACGCCTGTGATGAGAAGACCAACGCCTGTGAAGAGAAGACTCAACGCCGGCGATATGTTATGGCGCCGTTTTATATATAAACAATATTTATATTTAATATTTATATATAAACAATATGAATGTAAGCCAGAGGAGAACTGGCCCCCGACTGAGCCTGGGTTCTCCCAAGGTTTTTTTCTCCATCCAATCTGATGGAGTTTTGGTTCCTTGCCACTGTCGCCTTGCTTTTGGCTTGCTTAGTTGGGGATATTTAATATTTAACAATATTATTGATCTGTGTTGTACTACTTTCATGTCATAACTAGGCGCGTTTCCATTACAGATTTGCGCAAAACTTTTGCGATATTTTCCAAATGTCAATAAAAAAACTATTGCGAAATGACGGTGTTTCCATTAACTGATGTTTTGCGACTAAAACGTCTTTTTTCCCTCTCGCGATAAGTCATTCTAAAAATCATGGCAACGGACTTTGGTAGGTTTATAACCTATTTCACAGCCATGCACACTAGATTATTATTATTAATGGAAGGAGACGTGGTGTGTTATCCAAGCATTAATGGCAGGGAAGTATCCTTCGTGGATACCGATACACGTTCACTCCGCAGAGGTTATGAGACAGCTGTCAATCTGTAACTTATTTTTACTACACTCCATGATATTAAACCATAATTACATCATTGAAAAATCACACTATCTACTCATAGTCATATCCCATTTATGATTTTACATCTAATGATTTTAAGAACTCCACACGCGGCAGAAAGCCAAAACGATGATATAGCTGTACAATGCAGACAAAAAGAATTGTGAAACCCGGCTTGACAAACCCATGATACACAATAGAATCATCATTAACATGTGTCCATCAGTTTAATAACTTTCTTACAAATGCTGAATTAATGGGCAATGGTAAATATTTCAAAGAGCAGATAGAAATAAATGAAAAATAGCCAACTTAAACTAAATATTATGAACGTCGGAGCAACCACAGAAAGTAGGTACAGGAGAGGAGTGAGAAAACGAGAGAGAGGAGAGCAGATGGACTACAAGAACGCTAACATTTTACTCTACAACTGGTTCAACGCAGGTGACAGGCTAAATCAGGTCAACCATTAAAGCAGATTTAAAGGGATAATTCACTTTGAAATTATTTTTTGATATGTTTTAGCTTTTCTCAAGGGCATCCAAGATGTAGGTGTCTTTCTTTCCACAGTATTTTCAATTTTTGATATTTTTCGGTCAAACCGTTGTTGTCTCAGTCATACACTGGAGGTTTAGGGGTCCTCCCTTGGTTCATCTCAAAGAGCATGCACAGAGAAGTCCAAATTAAACATGATTTAATGACTCATAAATGTAAGTACACATTGATTGTCTAAGACACGAAACGAGCGGTTTGTGTGAGAAAATGAAAAGTATTTAAATCGTTTTTACCTCGTGTAACACAGCCATGTCCAACTGATCTGACGGCACGGACGCTTCGGGCTGCGCATGCGCCGGAAGTGATCGCTTGCACGTCTACGTCACTCATCGTTTATACAGAGATTTCGGAAGTTTTATCACTAAACATATTTAGATATACAGGAAATCGCAATGGAAGACGATTTCGATATATCTAAATATGTTTAGTGGGTCAGTGACGTGCCACACTGATTTGCACTTCCAGGAGCAATAAATATTATATAATAATATAAAATAGGTTTAAAATTATATACATGTTTTAATCTCACATCATCTGTCCTCCTCACTGTTCTTAATTGTGTGAAATTTCAAAAATAGGTAATTTTTAGACTATTAATGTGGTCAAATGTCATACGGACAAACGGAATTCACTTAAAGTTATTTAAGACAATTAAAATTTTTCATTTGGCATATTTTTTCAAAGTCTTAAGATAAGCATATTAAAGTATCAGTAAGATAGTCCTTTCAGAAATGTCATTTGTATCTAAAACAAATTGTTCCGCAAAAACACATTTTCCCTATGTCATACGGTAAAACAAAGTTTAGAAGCCATTTTGGAACTGGATATTAATGACTTAAGTCATGTGAAATTTGATGACATTACTCAGAGGACCCCTGAAGACCAGCCAAGTTGAAGGCAAGTTTAAGATTTTGCTCCTACATTTGGGGTAATTTCACCTTTTCCAAGTGAGTTACATGTGTCACAGATTTGGGTGTCATATGTTCAAACGTCAAAAAAGGGTTTAAAACATTTAAAATTTGAAAAAATATTTATTTACAGGTGAAATATAAAGTTTAAAAGTCAAGGTAAAGGGTAAAGATGGAAGGAGGTGGCCAAGCAACTGCCTGTTATAAATGACACAGCACAAAATTGTCATAAGGGCAAACAAAAAATGTCATACAAACAAACGATTTTACCGTATGACATGTTGTTATACCATATGACACAGAGCATTTAACTGTTATTTCTTAATAGTTATATAACATATATAGTTTGTACGACTACTATGAATTAATATTAACATATATAATATATTTCTGCCTATTTTAAGCATTTTTTCACATTATTACAGATGCCTCTTTCTAGTAAGGAGAGGGGTGCATGTTTCCGTGCAAAGCTAAGGGCAGATCCTGCAGCTAGAGAGGAGAACCTAGCCAAGAGGAGGGAAAGGGTATATGATGTGAGAGTATATGATGCCAGTAATGTTAGGATGTGCCAGTTTAGTCAGTATAGGCAGTATCTTATCTATAGGCCTGAGTTGAAGTCAGCATCACAATGTTTCTGGAAAGTGGCTTTATATACAGTGGGGCCAAAAAGTATTTAGTCAGCCACTGATTGTGCAAGTTCTCCAACTTAGAATGTTGAGAAAGGTCTGTAATTTTCATCATAGGAACACTTCAAATATGAGAGACAAAGTAAACACTGTAAACACCAGCTACAGTGTGTGCAAACCTGGTGAAGACTTACAGGAAACGTTTGACCTCTGTCATTGCCAACAAAGGTTATGTTACAAAGTATTGAGTTGAACTTTTGTTATTGACCAAATACTTATTTTCCACCATAATTTACAAATAAATTCTTTAAAAATCCTAATGTTTTTTCCTGGATTTTTTTTCTCATTTTGTCTCTCATAGTTGAAGTGTACCTATGATGAAAATAACAGACCTCTCTCATTATTCTAAGTTGGAGAACTTGCACAATCAGTGGCTTACTAAATACTTTTTGGCCCCACTGTAGATATATTATTCACGTGTGTGTGTGTGCTGTGTGTGTGTGTATCTCACTGTTGTAAATCTAACTGATATTGTCATGTTTTACATATAGCACATCCTATGTGTTCCTTGTACTGAAAGAGAGTTGAGTTGACTAAAAGAAATGTTCATGTGTTGGGAAATATATTCTACTGTTAAAAAAAGGTTCACTTGAGATGCCTGTTTCTTTGAAATTATTTTGAATTGGCCTACATCAATTTATTACATTAAAAATGCAATAAAACATTGAAATTGTACTATGTCATACGGTAAAACAAAATATGTCATATGGTAAAACATTGAATTTTAAAAGAAATAAAAATAGATACTTTG